GGGGGTAATGAAGACTCAATAGACATAAACAGAATTATATAAATCGCGCGTTCCTTGTTACGACAAATCTTTCTCCTGGCAACACTGCACTTGGCCAATGTAATGGACGTGTTTAGGAGACGTTTAACTCCAAACAGTTTGGTTGTTAAGGCGTTATCAAGTGGTTAAACAGATATTATTTGTCTGTTACCCGCCATAACATTATTTTTGACACGTGTTTATGCTTTGCTTAGGTCGATATAAGTAATTTTCTAATTTAATTTATTTCAGTAGTTCTATTTTGAGTCCAAGATTTTCATTTGTTAACCATATTTTAGTTGTATGTTATCATATCATTTGATTAATATATTTTCTCCTATCGAAAGCATGTTTTCGCAGATAAGTTTGCAAACTCATCATGGGTGCACGTTTGGCAAATTTAGCTGATATTTTAGCATGTGAAAACAAAGAATCGCAAAGTACAACATCAATATAATTTCAACCAGAGAAAAGATTTCAGCGCGTGTGTCGAAGCCCTTATGTTGGAGACAGAAAGCAGAACAAAACAATATAGCTGTCTTTTCCAAGTTAGCTTTATTTTTGGAAGACTGTGAAAATATTACTTTTGACGACATCAAGGATACAATTATAAGACACATTTTACCAAACTCAAAGAGCGGTTTTCTGATTACTTTCCAGATCTTGATTCATATACTGTCATTTGGTTGTAGATCCCTTTAAATGCGAAATGTGATATGATTGATGTACCAGGAATAGCTTCCAGGGTTGGCAGGGGCACTTCTTGAATTTCGATCCAATAATAAAGCACGTATTGAATTTGAAAACAAAGCAGATCTGTCATATTTTTGGATGTTAAAAACTGCAAAAGCTTTCAGAATTGCTTCTGAGGAGGCAGTCAAAAAGTTACGGCTTTTTGTAACAACCTACCTTTGTAAACAAGGATTTTTCACTAATGAACATACAAACAAAACGGAGAAATCGATTCGACCCCAAAGACAGTGTCCTGTCTGGTAAATTGCTCTGGCATCTAAATATCCCAATAGATGTTATTGCAACAAAAATGAAACAATATTTCTCCAAAACCTGAAGTGAAAAAGTTTTCAATGAAATTCTTTTGTTTCATGATAAAGATATTAATTTATTCATCCCATATATTTTGTACGTTTTATCTTTATAATTGTATTTTCCGTATAAATAGATTCAATAAGCCTTTTGCATTTAAATAGTCTATGATTTTCTCCCTTTCAAATCATGGAGATAATGTCGGCGTAAATAAATGTTTTGGGGTAATAGGTAAAAAAGATCCCTACCCTTGCATTAGATCATGGAGTGTTATAGAAAGATGATAAATATCTATACATGGTACAAAATATACGAATTACTAAAGATAATTGAGGAATAGAAACACCATCATATCATCGTATATCCACCAAAACCAAGGAAACCACCCGATGGAAGTACGCTTATGGATATCTCACGTTACTGACACATGCTACATTCAACAAATGGACCTTCGGTGACATTGAAACCATGATTTGAAAATTCATCCACCTGATACATACGTAGACAATTCACAAGAATCGTCTCACCGATTTTGCTGTCGTTTAATAAAATACCACGTAGACGAA